TTTCAAATTTGGATTCAAAAATAATTTACTTCATTTTGAAGGATGCCTATATGTTTCAGAAGAAGAAGCATACTTATATATTCTTTAAGCATGTTATGGCTTTCTAGTAGTATGACATTTTAGATATAAGAAGACTTTAAAACTAATATCTAGAGATTTTGGTGGCTGGAAATGTGGAAGGCTATAAAAAACTTTGTTTAATCATATGTCATTTGTTCAAGGTCAAAAATTCCTTGTTATTGACCTTATAGACTTCTTCAACAATTACATATTCCTAAACAATCATAGACTTCTATTTCTATAGATTTTATTATAGATCTTTCAATCTTAGGTTCATGTGATTCTATATTTGTAATAATATATTATTTTATCAAAATGATATATTTTGTACTATACATAAAATCTATCAATGGTGAAAAAATTGCCAAGCTTTTCTTTGACAATATCTATTGATATCATGGATTATCAAAAGATATTATATTAAATAAGGAGATTCAATTTATATCAAGATTTTTAAAAATCTTTTTTAAAATTTTAAAGGTGGACATAAACCTTTTTTTGGCCTTTCATCCTCAAACTAATGGATAGATAAAGCTTATAAACCAAGTTTTGGAGCAATACTTAAGGTGCACCATTAATTATCAGTACAATAATTAGAAAATCCTCTTGCCATTGGTAGAATTTGCTTATAATAATAAAATGCATTTTTTTATGCAACAAACACTTTTCTTTGTCAATTATGATTACTATCCATGGCTTAATACTTTTGACCTTTCAAAAATTGATAATCTTTTGGTAGAAGATTTGATAAATTATTTCTCAAAGTTACATGTAATAATAAAGGTGCAATTAAAAGAAGCTCAAGAACAATAAAAGATCAACTCGAATGCCTATCAAAAGGAACAACCATAATTTGATGTAGGTGATAAGGTACAGTTACTTTGTCATAATATCAAGACTACTCGTCTTTATGATAAGTTGGACTACAGCATGCTTGAACCTTTTCCTATTCGTAGATAAATCAATCTAATTGTTTATCGATTACATCTATCAAAGTCAATGAAAATCCATCTTATATTTGATGTGTCTCTTTTTGAATTATATAAAACTATGAACATAACAAGAAGAAGAGTAGTCCCACCTCTTCATATAGAAGAGAGACAATAATAAAGAATTTGAAGTGGAAGAAGTTTTAAACTCAAGGTGGTGCTGAAATAAGTTGGAATATCTTGTCCATTGGCATGAATATGATATGAGTGAATGCACATGGGAGCCAACAAAAAATCTTTCAAATATAGTAAAGATGGTAGAGGCTTTTCATCAACAACATCTATTAAAATGAAGATGAAGGATAGCAAATCTTTGCTATAAAAGAAATACAATTCAAGAAAGATTGTATTCTACCTTCTATCATTGTTTGTAGTTTTCGTATAATTATGAGATTAAAAAAATGAGAACCAATAGCTGAAAAATTCAACTCAAGAGCCATGATTTGATAACTAATTAGACCAGATATTGTAATAATCATAGCCTTCAAGACGGTATAATAGGAATAAAGACCTTCAAGAATAACACATTCTTCCTCAAATAGATGGCGAGATATAATGCATTTGATATCATGACCTAAGAAAAGACTCTTAATATTTGGTGATTTTATTAGAGGTAGGCATAAGTCGTGATGGTGTTATAAATATTTTGTTTGAAGGAAGTTACCAAGGTTTCAACAATGACCAAATCAAAAGGTAGTCTTTCTATCCTAGAATGGGATATTTCAATGATCGAGAGGAACTATCAACTACCTTCAAAAGGAACAAAGATCATAGTATATGGCAAATACAATTTGATGCATCTTGGACTTCTTCAACATATAATTACTGCTCCTTGTGGAACTTGTGTCTAGAAAGGGACATAATATCACAGATATATATCTATTTTAATTATTACCTAAGTAATATGAATAGATAGAATTAGATAAAAATAGATTAATTTCACAATATCTTTTAGAAAAGCTTTCTAAAAGCTTTCTAAACGTTGTTTTGACTTTTCTGGAGGTCCTATAGAATGTCACAATAGAGATCCTAGATGGATAGTATATATAAAAGCAAGAATGAAGTCTTCTTCATTCTTATCAATTCTTTTCTTGCTTCTAGTCTAGATCCAAGAGTCTCTAATTTCCTTGTCTTTTAGCAATAGCCATTTTGGTTTTCCTTCCAATATACATACTTCTCTATTTGTATTTCTTTGAGAGAGTCTCATTTGTTTATTTTCTTTCATCAAGTTCTTGTCCTTGACATTGGACCTTATTATTGACTTTTATAAACATATGAATAGTACTTCCATAATTAACATTGATAATATGCAAATATTTTTTCCTAAGAGTATTGACGAGCTTCTGAAGATTTGTAATTATTACAAAGATGTTTTTTTTTAATTAAGTGCAACATCTATAATTTGGTTTTCTTCCATTTCTACAATAGATAATTTTAAGAAAATCACAATTAAAATTAGAACAAGATAATTATTAATTTCTAATATCAAATATTTTTTAAAAAAAATAATAGAATTCTACCCTCTTTTAAAAAAAATAAAAAGTTAAAAAATAAAAACTTAAAGTTAAAAAATAAAAAATATTAATTTAAAAGTAGATAGATTATAATATTTAAAATATAAAAATAAGAAGTGGAATAATATATATATATATATATATATATATATATATATATATATATATATATATATATATATATAATATTCTTATCAAATTATCAAATTATCAATGATATGAATAATAACAAAATTTTAAAGAAGCAAAACATTCTTGTGATATTGAAAGAGAGAAAGTAAAAAAATTATAAAAAGATATAAGATAGAAAAAATAATTGCTATTGTCAAATACAAAGAAATTAGATATTCTTAAGTCAAGACAATAGTATAAAAAAAAGTATTTAGAAGAGTGAAGAAAGCCTTATACTTTTTTTTATTTATATTATCTAACTAAGAAGTTGTGTGGTAATATTCTATGGGCCATCTGACAAATCTATCCAATTTGTAAGACATGTGTCTAATTTATAAGACGAGGCTCCAACATATGCATCATATAACCAACTTGTATCACACATAGCAAACATGTGCAATATGTAGCCAATTTATTGGCCTAGTTTCAACCTACCAAATATCTACAAATACTCAAAAAGTCAAATTTGTGTCTATAAAGCTTCTAAAAAGCTTATCTATAAGATATTATTAATTTTATCTAATTTTAATTCTACCTAAATCTTAAATAGTTTTATAAAGTGCTAAAAAATCATGCATTGGCTTTAATACAATATGCATTGTGTAAGTTATTATAGAAGTTTTATTAAGATTTTGTTTTTTTTATTTAGAATTTTAAAGATATTTTTTCTGAAATTTTTATTTGTTAATTTTAACTTATAATTTAAATATATCATCTATTATCATGCTAATTTAAAAAATATAGTAAAAATTCTATATAAATATTTAGATTTCAAGATATTAGTCAAAAATATCTAAATATTATGTTTATATATATTATAAGAAAGAAATAAATAGTTTTAATTTCAATCATATTTATTGATTTGTAAAAAAAAAATTGATTCAAATTTAAAATCTAGTCACATTGTGGCTAAAAAACCTAGTCTAAATACAATCTTTTAATACTACAATGACTCAATAATTAAATTGATTTGAATTTTTTCTAATTTATATACTTTGAACAAAAATTTGTGTATCTTTCAATATAAGAATTATTTTAAGTTGATAAAAAATGATATTATTATTTAATTTCAAACTCTTAAAATCTTAAAGAAATTATGCCACTGATTAATATTCATCAATAATTTTGATTATGAATAAAGTTTAATTAATTTATCTAAATAATGTGATAATTTTACATGTTAAGCTTGTGAAGTTTAGTATAATAATTATTAATATCTTATTTATACAAGTCTATAAATCCAATTGTCATATTTAAATTCTCATTTGTCTACTTGATATTATTGATTTACAGTAAAAAAACATTCTTTAAATCAAGACTTATGATATTTAATTCTACTGAATAGAATTGATATGTTCATTCACTAACATGGCTGTTATTTTTTTTGAATTAAATTTTTAACCTTATTCAATTTACTATTGTTTAGAAAATAAATAAAACAAATATAACTTCATGTATTTATAATACCTTGATAAAATATTAAAATAATGAATTTATTATTTATTATTTATACTACTCATCACAAACATAATTGCTAGAGATTAATTGGTTTTAATTTATAATTTTGAAATTATGAAAAAATAAAACATTATTATTAATTACAATATTGTGAGATTTTTCTAACTATTTAATGGTGATGTATTGAAGTAAGAAAAAAAAAAGTTATGATGTTCTTATGTTTCTAATAATATGTTTACAGGATAGCTAATATTAATCTATTTTAGACTCATAAATATATAAAAAGGATATTTTTTAAAGTTTTGATTTATGTATCTTATTTTACATGAGGGTTGATGAAGATTTTAATGTATTTTATTAGAATGATTCATTGATTTTCAATCATTTTTTTTTACTACTATATATTTTTTTCAGTATTTTAATAAAATTTAAACTATATATATATATAAATTATATTAATTTTTGAAACTAATTTTAATACAACTAATATCATCAAAATATAAACTTATGTAATAATCCATTAGCAACTAATTACATTAAATATCATACATAGATCTTGGAAGGGGAAAATTTTTTTTTTTCCTCCAATTCAATATTAAAAAATGCTAATATTTCACACCCAAAACTTTGAACATTTTAATAACACGCTTAATATTGGGCAAAGATTCTTTCGGTACGGGTCTCATTAAACACGGTTCGAATCGTTATGGCGGCCGTCCGCTTCCTGTTGGAATGTTTGGGGCTGAAATGGATGAATAATTCCAATGAATCGTTCATCCGTCCAGTATGGTTTCTGGAGTGAAGAATCACAAGTAACAAGAGTTGCTCCACAATGCTGTTCTTTCGCTTCGCAGCGCCTTTTCCTCTACAAGGTTTCAAACTGCTTTGTATTTTCAAGGGCAATTTCGTGCTTTGAAGCGTGAGCCATTCCACGACTCTTCCGCTTCTTTCACAGGAACTTGTGGAATTCGTCGCTGTTTTCGATCCACTAGCTTGAAAAAAATTCTTTGTCTTTTCGCATAGTTATTGGAATCTATTCGGTGGAACCCGGGAAAGCAGAGACTGGTTTGCTCGGAGAGACATGGCGCCCGTATTAGACGCTTTGCAGAGGGAATGCACGCGTGGAACCTGTGGTTAGTGCTTAGAAGCAGCAATTTAGTTCTTTTGCGAAATATTTGTTTGTGGTTGTTGAGTCTAAATTTGTGGACGAGTATAGTCCGTCTTCGTAGGAACTGGGAGTTTATTTCACTGAGTTTTTTTTGAAAGTTGCTGACCTGAGATTTTAGCCTTCCCTGAATTGCACAGCCTCATTCTGCATTAACGCATGTTGATTCTTTATCATGGCCTTTTTCTTTTTTTTTTTCTTTTTTTTTTTTTTTTTTTTTTTTTTTCTAATCTACAGTATTTGCAGATGTCTTGGAGTTTGAAAGACCCTTTGATGGCTTTATCAATTTTAACAGAAGTTTTCTTCAAGGCGTACATGGAAAATGTGCTTGATATATGACTCGACAGCGAATGAATGAGAGCCTGTCTGTGTTCTAGAGTTTTCAATTAATTGCCAGTTTAGGTCATAATGCTGTACAAATAGTCTTTGTTTTGAAAAGGGTGAAAGTTTGCACAATATGGCCTTTTAGCGACAGTTCGGATAGGTAGAACTATCAGAGAGCTAAGGCTTCCATTCTTGATTCTTGTAGACGAAATATCAATCTCGGGGTTACTGCTCCTACTTTCGGTCTCACTCTTCTGGCATTGAAATAGTTCCTGTGTTAGCCGCTGTTTCTATTACAGTGCGACTTGTACGTCATGCCGTTTCTATTGCCGTCTTCGAGTTCCAAACAAAAATACACGGCCCCTGTTCAATAAAATCTGATGCAACTGAGCACGTCCTGATGACATTTCCATGTAATCTGGTTGGATTTGGATCTATGATTGAGCTGTGATCTCACGCTCCGTTCCTCTGCAATCATAAGTCCTACATGTTGTCCGACGTTTGCGTTGTTCACATGAATTTGTAGATGGGAAAACGAGCTCTTAGTGTCTGTCCCGATGTGGATGGATCAGAAACCATTAAAAAACAACTATACTCTTTGCCAATTGACCGACAAGCCTGCGATGCAAGACGTCGATTTCATCACTGGATGATTGAGTGCATCATACCTGTAAATGTTGTAGTAGTTGGAGAACATTTGTAGCCTCTATCTGAATTGTGGCTGCACGCCTCATACAGGAAGATGTAGTTTCGCAGCTATTCCTAACGGGATTTGAGCTTCATTTGGCGAAAAAAGAAATAAGAAATCCAAAGCTGCACTCGACGGTGTAGTAGATTTTTATAACTTACTGAAGTTTCAAACAGCTACGTGGAAAGTCTCTGTGAGATCGTCACAGTTTCAAATTATTTGGAGGTAAACAGCTAAGTTCAGTAAACTCTAACGACGGCTTTTTCAATCTGTGTTACTTAAAAGCGAAGGTGAAATATGAATGTAGGGAAGATGCTTTCATGTATAAACGTATGAATAGAGCCTATGGAGACTTTCTCGATCACGTACGAGACAGATCCCATGGATACATCAGTAGAAGTTTCTGGCGAAGCAACAGAACAAACGGGAGGAGAGGGAGTTATTCTTAATGGAGGGCTTTGGGTACAAGAAGGTGCATGGAGAGGCTTCAGTGATGAAGCTCTACCTCCTAAAATAAGTGATACTGCTGGGGAAGATCTCACCACTCGTATCGTTGTTCCAGTCATAGCAGAGAAAACCTTGGTCATCGGGCATCCATTCGACGTGCGGCGTAAAGAGACACTCTCTGTAAAAAGTGAAGCAAGCCCATCGGACATGTACAGCGCAGAGAACTTCTCAGGAGCAGCAGATATTTCACGAGAAGAGATGTTGAACAGGCAAGAGAAACTTCTAATTACAGCTGTTCAAACTCCACATAGGATATAGTCACTTACAGATGAGTTAACGGGAAGCAGTCACCGTGCGCAGAATTTTTTTTGTAACGGACTTGTGGTCGATGCCCTGCAGAAGTACCCTAATACTTTTAATAGCTGGTAGCACTTTAGAGTGTTGCTGAGAAAACCTGTCAATCTGTTCTTAGTCATCCCAGATCTATATGTAAATAAGATGCCCTAAAGTGGTGGCGGTGGACATGCCAGCTGATTCTGAGATCATCAGACCTGAAAGTCCCTCAACTGATGGTGAAGAAATATCTGTTCATTCCACCGCCACCCGGATATTTGGCATTGAGAATCTATGATATGTTGGTGTTTGTGGGAATGTGAAACTTAACGATCTGTGGTTGTCACTTCTGATGGCATCTGTTGGCTTACATTGTATTTATTTTTGGTGTTTTGGACACTTCACTGACTGGTCGTCTAATTAAACTTTCTGGAAACTCTTCCGCTCCATTAAGTGGCGCCTGGCAACTTGTGAAATTAAAATACTTGGAATTTCAAAAGAGAAGTCAGCATACACATGGATCGGCTATTTTGACCTATTCTGTTCAAATTGCAATGAAAATCTTAGTCCTCTTTCTGAGATAGCAAGCTGAGAGATACACTCACTGCTAAATTTTCACCAATTTTGATTTCATGGTTTACACAGACGATACCTCCGTGAATCATATTTTGCAGGTGTCAGATAGCTATGGACATGGAAAAAATACTTGTGAATGCAGGACCAGGAGTGGATGTGAAACCTTTAATAGAGTATAGACATGCTGTTGGTCTTGGTTGTAAACGAAACCCAGCAGCTGATGCAGGGTCCATGAGATTTAGAACTGATTTTATGGAAACTGGAGATGCGAAACCACGAGGTTTGGGACGACTAAAAATCAATCGCGATGAAGTTCAGGTGCTCTATTGCATAATCATTTTCACGATTGTAGAAATTCCTTGACTTCCTTATTTATAGGATCATTATGATTAGACTAAGTTCAATATTCGTGTTGGTTGATGGATTTTCGTGTGCTGCTGTGAATTACCGATTTGGAATCTCCTTCAGCCTCTTGCTTCTGAGAGACAGTTTTACGGATATCACGATGATAAGACTCATGGCATCCATACTTTCTCGGTCTTGAATCTGTCAATGCTTTAAGTGCATGGCAATCCGTCTGTGTTACGGTGCTTGACTCTTCACCAATTGAACTTGGCGTTTTTATGCTATCCCTTATTGAAATTACAAGACTCAGATTGTTAAGTGTTCGCAGGAAACCCGTGTTCAGAAAAAGATAAAACAAGGAATGTCTTGCGTACATGAAGAAGGCCCTTCGAAAATATTCATACTTAGTAATTTAAAAGGTGGTGCTCTTCCTAAGCTTATAGAATGGGAGAAAGCAGCGATCACAGCTTTGCAAAAGTATTTTGGCCACCAGCAGTTAAAAAGTTTTCAAAGAGAAGCGGTTGAAGCATGGGCAGAAAATCGTGACTGTTTTGTTCTTGCTGCCACGGGCTCTGGTGAGGCATTGGGATTCCAATTGGTCAGCTTTGTTGATTTGGTGCATTTGTTTTTTCGCAAGAAAAGTTACTCTGAATGTGACTCTGCAACCTAACACCCAAAAGCAACATCCCGTACTTCTGAATTGTTTTTCAAGGTGTTCTTAGATTTCACTTGACCTTACAACAAACTTGGTCTGCTCCTACCAAACATCCGAATTCTTTAGTGCTGTACTGTTTCGAATTATCAGGCATCTCTATTTTCAAGCATATTGGCATTTAGTTTCATCTGATCTTTCATCTGATCTTTCAGATGTAATGGATTGTAGGCAAGTCCCTATGTTTTCAGCTCCCAGCGTTGATGACTGGAAAGGTAGTTGTAGTGGTTTCCCCACTTATCAGCCTTATGCACGATCAATGCTTACAGTTAGCGCGGCAGGGGGTGTCTGCTTGTTTTCTTGGTTCTGGCCAAGTTGATAAGACAATCGAACTCAAAGCCATGGCTGGGATTTATAACATTGTCTACGTCTGCCCGGAAACACTTCCTAGGTAACTGTTCCATCAGGTCCTTCAATTGATGTGATCAGTAAAACCGAATTTCCATTCTTAGATTTATATACGCAGCTCCTAAGGAGATGAGTGGGCAGGCTGGAGAACTATTTTCAGGGCCTTGCTCGAGGCAAGGGAATAGCTCTGTTTGCAGTGGACGAAGCACATTGCATTTCAAAGTGGGGACATGATTTTCGTCCAACCTACAGGTATTCTCTCTGTGTAATGTTATTATTACAGCATGAATAATATGCTGTTAGCTATTAAATATTGGTTAGAAAATTCAGAAAAAGAAACCTGAGTGTGCAACACTGTTTTGAGGTGTGCATGCACGTTGGACTGGTTATTGAAAAACTTTCCAAGTTTTTAGTTAGAGGTTGGACCTTTTCGTCCAAATCGGATTAGCAGATGTGAAAGATGTTGACATAATGGATGCCAATCAAAAAATTCTGTTGATTGTAGGCAGTTATCTATGCTGAGGGATAAATTTAAAGTTGGTGTCATTCCGGGATTGAAGCATCAGATACCCATCATGGCGTTGACTGCCACCGCAACTCCTCGTGTGCGGAAGGATATCCTGACATCCTTGGGGATTGCTGCCGGAAATCCAAGAATTGTGCTCACCACATTTTTCAGGCCAAATCTTTACTTTTCTGTGAGTGAAGTAGGCTCTATTATTTATTCATTGTGTCTGCTGATGCTTTCATCTTCAACTGGAGAATTTCATTCATAATTTCGTATACCCTCCTCAATGTTTTTAGTGTTGAAGAGTTAGTGGTGAACACACCAAGGCACGGAATTTCCTGTACTCGTTGGAAACATGTTATTCGTGAGACTTCAAAAACCTTAATACTGAGCTGCTAATTCAAGCCTACCTGATTCTGTCTTGGAATTAGCTGTGCACACATTTTCTAGTAGTCGTATAAGTTTTAAATTCCGCTCTCCTGTTGTCCAGGTGCACCACAGTAAAACGACAATGGAAACATCGTATGAACATGATTTTTCATCTCTTATCAAGACTTACACTGAGGACGTAAACAAATTCCAAACAACAGCCTCAGCATTAGAAGAAAATCTTTTACAAGAGCGTAACAGAATTAGTTCCAAAGAGGATAATCACAATCTGAGAATGGGTCTCTCTCAACTTGTGAACAGCACATATAGTGTTGCATGGCCTGATAATAAAAAACAGGTCCCTGGAAAAAAATTGAATCAAGATGAGGATTTAATCATCTTATCTGACGAGAATGAGGAAGAGGAGGACTCCTCAAGTGCGGAAGGTGATGATTTGAAGGACACTGACTGTGACGGTGCTGAGCTGACTGGCGAAGTTTTGGAGGATGAAGATGAGGACGAGAGGTTTGGTGGTGATTGCTTTGGTAAGATCCAGTCTTTTTGATTGGTGCTTCCTCAATATTATTAAGAATAGGCTTTTGTCGATTCATGGTTTTAGCACCCTCTGTTCATGAGTAGATAGTTCAGGGCTCATGAGTACATTCAAATCTTTGTAAAGTGAGAATATTGTACTTAAATAGCAATGATACATGTATCCATTGAAATTTGCGGACAAGTTCGTGAATTACTGTTAAACTTGGCTTGTAGTTGAGTGTGGAGAATTTAGCGGCCTCGGTGCTGCGAGTGAAAAATCAGTTGGTCGACTTAATAGTATAGCGATGGAAATGAAGGGAGGTCCCACCATTATATACACGCCTACAAGAAAGGAAACTGAGGCTATTGCAAAGTTTCTATGCGGACATGGTGCAAAGCCGCTGCTTATCATGCTAAGGTGATATTGCCAGCACTAGGAAGCTTTATTTATAAATGTTTCCGGGTGAAATGTGTGTTATCCTCTGAAAGCTTGAACCTATGGGTTACCAAATGAATTTGTGCAGTTGCCCAGAGCTCATTTGAGACAAGTGCACGAGGGCTTTCACGGAGGCACTTTGCAGGTCTTTCCGTCTTTACCTTTTTGTAAAATTTAGATGATGCAGTCATGTCCATTTCCTTGACTGATCGAAAATAAAAAAGTGCTGGTGAGCTCTCCTGTTGGCGTATTTGATGGCTACTGATACTCTGAATGTTTTTTTAGCTTTTGTTCTTAGCATGATCTCCATGTTCTGGTAGGTTGTTGTTGCCACTATTGCTTTTGGAATGGGAATAGACAAGCCAAATGTAAGGCGCGTGATCCACTATGGTTGGCCTCAGGTTAGTAAGAACAATTCCTGTTCTTCTGCAATGAAGGCTTGGAGTCAGATGTTGTCTATGACATGTTTTCTCAAGCTTTGAAACTTTATATTCATACCCCACCCCTATACATTCATAATTCCTGTATCAGCTGTTTGGTTAACACCGAACAGAAATTTTCTTAATTATAAATGTAATTGGAGCAGAGTTTGGAGGCGTACTACCAGGAGGCAGGTCGAGCTGGTAGAGATGGTTCTCGTTCGAATTGTGGTACGTTGCCCGCAGCTTGAAATTAAGCAACACACTGATGTCCTCAAATTCCAATGAATTGCTTTCCTCGTGTTTTGAACATCCTGCTTGTAAGCCATGTATCTCATACCACAACTAAATTCAAGTAGGCCTGTTCTCACCTGCAGTTTGCAGGATTTGTCGTCTTGGTTTAAAAGTAGTTTTTTATCTTTTTTTACCAATGATGTTGACATGCAAGTGAATTTCCTAATCGAATTTGTCACCACAGTTAGGAAAGTATCTGATGATTCTTTAAGTGCATCGGAATGAAGTCCTATGCGATATAATTTCTGATGGGCATTATTTTCTGTGGTTTCGCAGAACTATTTGTTGATATGACTGTTCTGCCTTCATTGCTGCCTAGCCGCCGAGATTCTCTTCAAACGAAGCACTCTCTTGAAATGCTATTTCAATGCTTCAGGCACTAAACTTTACTTACCTTCTCCATTGTCCACGTCCTCCCTGTAGATACTATTGTTTCTCAATAGCAGTGATAGCAGGATTGTACCAGTACGCTTCCTAAATTCTTGTATTGGGTTTTGTGATAAATGTACTTTTCATTGACTCAAGTCTGGAATGCAGGTACGGTATCAAACAAGATTGCTGCAGAGTTCATATGATCCTTCAATACTTTGGCGAAGTTCTTCAGGGTGGTCTGTGTAACATGTAATTATGTCTTCTTTGAATGACCCTCATAAAAGTGACTACTCTTCACATTTTTTTGCATTTGAGTTCTCTATGCTTCTTGGTTTTCTTCTTGCGTTCGTCAACTATTGAACATAATCCGTTATAACTTTTTTAAAAGTTTGTCAATGCAGTATCGCACTAATTTCCAGCGCTACGGTTTTTCCCCAGGTGCGATGTATGCCTGGAGGGTCCACCACCTGCTCAAAATTTAGCTAGAGAAGCTGTGTTGCTGCTGGCAGCGATTTGTAACTCTAAGGTGAATCATCACACAGTTGCCTGTATAATGTTGTCATTTGCTAGTCATGCACTGGATATATAATTTTCTTTCAAAGATCAGGTGCTGTTCAAAATCTTATGCGGAGCTATAACATAATGTCCATCGCAGCCTGGAACCGACTGTAGTTTGAATTACTAATTTGTAAGTTTGACCAATGTTCTGAATATTGCCATATGATGTTGATTTGCGAACATGTAGAAGGAAGCTGTTGCCTCAGGAGCTGGTGTACAACCAAAAGAGAGAATACTGAGAGGAAAAGGGAGAGCAGGATGTACAAGTAAGACTTCATCGGAGGGGCACAATGGACCAGCTATAGGAGATGTTGTAGAACAATTGGAGAAACAGGCGAGGGCCATACAAATTCCTTATATCCTGTCACAAAGACAAAGCTTGCCATTTTGAGGTTACTTATCACCTCAGCATCATATTTTTTTTTATCATAAACATGGTAGGAACGTGGTCATGGTGCAGGAGCTACACAAGGACAGATTATGGTGGAGGGGTTTCGTTCGCATCCTTGCTGATCGTGGTTACATCCGGAATACAGTGAGTATCTCTCCTCTTCAAAACTCGCTCACACGAATGTTGATCTCTTTTGATTCTACATGACTTGGCAGTGGGCAAAGCTTCAATGTCGATCACTAAGATGCTGAAAGACTGTTTGGATCTGCTAAGTGTTCTTCACTTTCATCGAACACTACTTCTTCAAACAGTTCCTTTGCCTGGCTGTCATACTATCAGTTTTGTCTAATATCTTCGCAACACTTGTACAGACATCAACAGTCACAAATAAGCTGGCTATGACTACCATCAGATACCCTCGGCTCACCTCCAAAGGACTTCGTTTCCTACGAACGCACGTCAATGCAGAAGCGTCACAAGATGCAAAACCTCTCATGATTCACTTGGAAGGTGATATGATTCAAGCTTTGAGAATATCAAAGAACAACAAGGAACAGGACATCAGAAGAAGCAAGGGAATAGAGAAGGGGGTGGGGTGACCCGAAGATCTGGAGACAGCGTCTCAGCAACGGTGGCAAGGGTCGTGCTCGTATGGAGAAGCAAGCTTCTTTTGAGACAGCCTTCAGCTGATACCAAATATGCTTTGGGCCAACTTGCTAATAAGCTGAGCCTCACAAGAGCAATGCGGGACATCCATTTGATGATATACTCGTGATCCTGCAACGATTTCGAGGAACATACTCTATCACCGTCGGTAATACTATTCGATTAGCTCTCAAGGTATTGAGAACATTATTGTTATGTTCATATTCCTCTGCACTTTACCTGATAGTTATGAATCCACAAGAGATTGGTAGTATTGACAGGCAAGATGTCGTGTCAAAGGTGGGGAATGCATTTATACATTTTGAATGTGTACCTGATAACATTCGAACAAGCTTGCAATTTTTTGTTTTCTGTTTTTTCGTTAACAGACAATTGACAAGGTCAAGGAATTCACCTAAAAACTAGTAATAAAATCTCTCATCAAATCTTGTAGGGAGGTGCTACTTGGGTTGATTGTTCATCTCAAAAAACCTTTCGCCTAGCGTGTGCACTTTGACTCTACTTGAACAAGGATAAGTTGTGAAACCACCAAACATTTTGTTCAGTTCAACATATTCTTCTTCGATCAAGCACATAAAACTCTCTTTTCTTCAACCCAATTGATGCGAAGCAACTCAGCAATCTCCTCCAACGTTACTCAGGCATGCCTAACTCTTCTAATTAAGCGCCTCGTCTCCAGGCCTCAAAAGCCGATAGAATGTATTATTTTATTATTTTATCCTTTTATTCTTTTATTTAGAAAAATGTTAAAATAACCCATACTTTTGTTAAATTGACCCATTTGTTTAAATTATGAGTGCACTCTTTGTCTCCAACCCACATCCCCGTTCCCATGTTCCCAACTCTCATCCCCGTTCTCAAGTGTTTGTTATCTACCTGATTGCCCCTACTGAAGGAAAACCCTTCCCAGCATCCAATTTGAAGCTCAGTTATGCTTTCAATTCTACGGAGGGATGCTGCACCGTGCCTGCGCCCCCTGAACCCATCGAAAATTTCGATTTCAAACCCAAGCTGCCGATGCGAGTCTGCCATGCTGCACACTTGGTGGACAAAGCCTACATCGTTAAGTACCAGAAAGCGGTGGAGCTAATGCAAGCACTACCTCAGACAGATGGAAGGTCATTCATAGCTCAGTACAGTCTCCACTGCGCGTACTGGAGCTGGGATAACCAGAACAGCAAGCAAAACCCCCTCCCTAACATCTTCCCCAAAGTCTACAAGGACAATAACACCTACTTCGCAAATCCCATCAACAAGACATCGCCATTGTTTGACCCTCTGCGCAACGCATGTGCTACTCAATCCTTTCCCCTCCGCTTGGTCAAATTCTAAGACGTGGTCGGAATTCCATGCATCCCAAAGAACCCCGAAGCGGTTCGCTTTGAAAACGCCCACTTGCTCTGGACATGGTTTTTGTCCGGCGGCCCAACACCTTGACATTCCACAGGGCACCCTACAAGTTCGGAGACTATGGCGGGGTTGGCATGGGCACCCTAGAAGCGAGGCCACACAGGCTCGTCCATATCTGGACCAACGTGATCAAGACATCCACCAACAAGGACTCTGCCTCCAACCCCTTCTACTCCCACCACGCCAACGTGGATCGTCTATGGGAGACGTGGAAGACGCTCCTCGGCAAATACCGCAAGGACATCTCAAATCCCGACTACTTTAACACGGAATTCACGTTCTCCGACGAGGACGGCGAACAAGTGTCTGTCAGCGTGAAACAAACACTGGATCTCGACTTATTGTGGTACAAGTACACGAATTCGTTGGCCGACTGGGTGGAGAATGGAGCGGTTTCGAAAGCTGCCAGTCCTTAGTGGAAACACTAACTTAAATTAATAAAGTAAATGGGATAAATTAGGTGATGCAACATAACATCGGGATCATCAGACGGACTGGCCTGATCGCTGGATTGCTGGGCAAGGCTGTTCGAACCATTCTCAACCACCCCCACCAAGTGTGGATCATGCGGTTCCTTTGTTTCCTGCACGTCACGATTAATCGCTTCCATCTTGTTCTTCAACTTCAAGCTGCCCCGATTTAAATCCACCACCCCAACTGCCCGGTGCATATGCCTATCATACGATCTCTCTTCAATTTTAAGTCCAAAGCTAAGTTGTCAACACCCTCCCCAGCTCGCACTCTTCCTTGATGGGCTAATCATGTGTTGGTAGCTTGCAGAATAAGCTAATAATGTGGCATACATATAAAAAACTTTCTTTACAAGTTAAGATACATGTCTTGCAAAGTCAACATGTTTTGGAGGTCTTGTAGGACATCACCACGTAATTCTTAATTAAGAATATATGTAGAGGCAAGAGTGAAGCCTTCTTCACTCTTGCCAATGCCTTTTTAATCTTTAGTTTTCTTTCAAGACTTTCTAGTCTTCTTGTTTTTGGCAATAGCTATTCTAGTTAAATATTATATCATCTTTGAGTGACTTTCTAGTTCTTTTCAGTAACACAAGAGTGTATTGAAGATTTATTTCTTCAAGATTCATGTCTTTAATAAATTTGATAAGAGTGCCAACTTACTATTTTATCTTATTTTAGAAGTAAGTAAATTATCCCACTTTTATTATTGTGATTTGAAGATTGCGGACTATCCATCTTTAAACAAATAATCTTATTTTTTAACATTAATTTTTTCTTAAAAAGAGTGGATTATCTCTCTTTATAGAAATTTTTATTTGATATTAGAGGTTACAGATTACCCTCTTTTAATTTAACTTTTTGAATTTGTTTGAGTTGTCTATGGAAGAAAAGATTATGGATACTACTTTCAACAAAAGTGAGAATAAATTTGATCTAATATATAGGCATTTTGAATATAATGTCATGCCTTTTGAATTCACAAATGCACTAATTACTTTTCAACATTTAATGAATGATATCTTTTGTGAGTTTCTTGATTATTTTTTCATGTGTTATTTGGACGACATCTAAATATACTCTAAAAATATAAAAAAACATGAAGTTTATGTTCGTCATGTATTATAAAAACTTAGAGCTGTAGTATTATATGCCAAGTTAGAAAAGTATATTCTATACTACTTAAGTTGACTTCCTAGGATACAATATTTTCAACAAAAGATTAATGATGGATTTGAAGAAGGTCTAGATTATCTTGGATTAGAAGATTTCAAGAACAATAAAAGATGTGTAATACTTTTTGAGCTTTGCCAATTACTATTGAATCTTCATCAAGATTTTTTCTCAAGTTATAGCTCTACTTACATGTTTGACTTATAAAGACAGATTTGAGTGAAATAAAGAATTTGAATTTAAAAAAAGAGTTTATTTCTGCACCAAACTTATATTGTGTTGATTTTTTCAAGGATTTTTTTTTTTATGGAAATAAATGCATTAGACTTTGACTTGAGTATAGTATTGTCATAAATAGAAGTAGATGACAAACTCCATTTCATAGTTTTTTATTCTAGAAATTTTTTAGTAACCAAGATTAATTATGAAATCCATAACAAAGAGCTTCTTATAATTGTGGATTCATTTCAAGAATAGTGTCATTATCTAGAAGGCACCTTAAGTGCAATGATCATATATATAGATCATAAGAACCTCAAATACTTCATATTGGTACGTATTTTGAATTATCACCAAGCTCGTTAGAGCATGTCTTTATTATGATTTGATTTCAAGATTACTTATCAATTTAAAAAATAATAAGGTTTATTCAATGTCTTTTCCAAAAATTCTTATCTTGCACTAAAAGAAGGAGATGCATCTTTTAATGAATAAAAAAAAAATCTCTTAAAGTGAAAGTATTTTCACCTTTGAGCAATAAAATCAACATTGATTGTTGATTCAACTTTTATCAAGCAAATTCAAACAAGTATGTTCTTTAATCATCTTGTCTATAATATCAAGAATAATTCTTCTAAATCTCATGATACTTCCAAGTATGAGTTCAAGAACAACCTACTTTATTTTAAGGGACAATTATACATTCCAAAAGGTAGAGCATAATTAAATATTCTTCAAACTTATTATGACTTTCTAATAGTTGGACATTTTGGATATAATAAGCTTTTGGAACTAATATTGAGATATTTTTGGTGGCATCAAATGTGGAAGGAAGTTAAAGACTTTTTATAATCATGTAATATTTTTTCAAGTTCCAAAACTCTTTACCATCAATCTTATAGACTTCTTCAGCCATTATCTATTCTAAAACAACTATAGGCTTTTGTTTCTATGGATTTTATCACAGATCTTCTAATCTTAGATTTGTATGATTTATATTCATGGTAATAGATCATTTTATCAAGATGGTATATTTTGTACCATGTACAAAATCTATTATAGGTTAAAAAATGATTAAGCTTTTTCTTAAAAATATCTATCACTATTATGGATTATTTAAAGATATTATATTAGATAGGAGGATTCAATTTATATTAAGATTTTGAAAAAATATTTTTATGATTTTAAAGATAGATATAAGTCTTTTTTTGACTTTTCATCTTTAAATTGATAGATAATCAAAACAAGTAAATCAAGTTTTGGAGTAATATTTGAAGTATACCATCAACTATCATTAAGATGATTGGACAATTCTTTTACTATTGGCAGATTTTGCATACAATAATTCAATACATTCATCTACTAAATAAATACCTTTTTTTCCAATTATGATTATTATAATTATCATTTTACTTATTCTACAAATTTCTTTCAAAATAAACATGTAAAAGGAGATTCGAACTCAAGGAAAGACTGAGCGCATGAGTTCTACTTGTTAGGGTTATACAATTAATCATATTTCGAACCACTAAAAATACCAAGGAATACTACAATATTTTCCACTTTCTAATAGCACTCTGCTATGACTGATAATAACAACGTATAAACCTTCACTATCCTAAAAGACAGTACATAATCATTCCATAATCCAAATACTGGAATCCTTCACTATTAACTGTTCTTGTCAACACACTTCTTCACAAAATTCCTGACTCTACAAACTCCTCCTAATGAATTACTTTCAATTTCCAATACTCAATGTATTATAATCCTTCTATTCATATCCATTCCTCACAAATATTTTCAATTATTTTCTTTTAATTCACCATTCTATAATTCAACATTCAATAAATCAAATTCTTCCTTTGACATTCCAAAACATTACTTCACATTTTTGAACAACAATCCATAATTCTTCTTTTATAAAGAAAATAAAATCTAAGAAATAAATAAAAAAAAAGGTAGCACCAAGCTTACCTCAGTTCATGACTATCACAATCTGACCCTTAAACTAACTTCTGCAACTCATATATATTTTTTCCTAATTTTTCAGATTCTAAAAATAATTCTATAATTAATCACTTTTAATAACTAAACTAATCATCTGTCCTCTTGAATTTCCTATTCTATAGACCAGTAGTATATTTTATCAATATCTTTCAAAAATGAATTAATATCTATTCTATACTTATTATCTACGACTTGATACTTTTAAAGGCGTAGTTAAAGTTCAATAATGACAAAAGATTAATGTAGATGCCTATCACAAGGAACAACCACAATTCAATGTGAAGTGATAAGATATGGTTATTTTATCACAATATTAAAACTACTTGTCTTTTTGACAAATTGGACTATCGTAGGTTTGAACTTTTTTTTATTTATGAATAAGTAAATCCTATTGCTTATTGATTATATCTACTAAAGTCTATGAAAATCCACCTTGTATTTCTTATGTCTCTTCTTGAGCCATATAAGATAGTGCATATCTTGAAAAGAAGACAAATGCCACCTCTTTCTATAGAAGTGAATAATAATCAAGAGTTCAAGATAGAAGAAGTCTTAGATTTAAGGTAGTGCCAAAATAGGTTGAAATATCTTATACATTGGCACAAATATAGTATTTATAAATGCACATGGAAGCTAGCAAAGAATCTTCCAAATACAACAAAGAGAGTTGAGGCTTTTCATCAACGACATCCATCAAATTCAAGATGAAGAATAAAAAATCTTTATTATAAAAGCAAAAAGATCTAAAGAAGATAGCATTCTACCTTCTATGTTTGTTTGTAGCTATTGTGTATTTGTAATATTAAAGAGATTGAGAATCAACAACCAATACATTCAACTCAAGAGCTTTTACTTATTAACTTACCGGACGAGATATTGTAATTATCACAATCTTCAAGATGATGTAATCGAGATGAAGATCCTCAAGAATGATACGTTCTTTGTAAAATAGATAGCAACATATAATGTATTTGGTATTACGATCTTAAAAGAGACTCTCAATGTTTGATGATTTTATTAGAAATAGGAATAATTCTTGATGGTGTTTCAAATATTATATTAAAAGGAAGTTATAAAGGCCTCAACAACAATTAAACAATAGGGTGGTCTTTTTGTTCTAGTATGGGATACTATCAATAGTCAAGAGGACCTATCAACCATTGTAAGCCATTGAATTGATTCACTTTTATATTTAGTATAAAAAATATACTTATTAAGCTTAAAACATAAATTTTATGAATTAATATTAGAATTTTAGGAAAAAATAGAAAATAGATTGCTAGTAGCGGACATGAAATCTAATATAGAGTTTAGTAAGAAAAAACTATAAAGACTATATTTTTCTAGTTAGCTAGTAGTAGAAGAATTATAAAAGAAGTAGTTATGGTGTCACAGACCAAAAATACAAACAAGAAATCTAAACAAGAAGTTCAAGAAGAAATGACAAGAACTAGATTATCAGATGAGTACAAGAGCAACGCCAAGAGAATTGAGCTAAAGCTTCAAGAGATGTGTTGTCGAGACTGAAGAACTCTTCAGCCTCAACTCCTA